TAGATTTATTTTTCCGATATCTAATTTTGGTTTTAAAATTTGTTTACAATTTCAATGTATCATGATTTTTTGTAATTACGAGGGAGTATATTATTGAATACTTATTCAAAAATGAGTCATAAAAAAAATCTCAATCAATATTAAAGCACCCGATCTTCTATATTTATGAGGCAATTATAATTTAAAGGAATTAACATAAACCATTACCGATTGATAATGCGTTTTGAAGTTAAAAACATTAAAAGAACCAATTTAGGGCGTAACGATTTTATTTAAATTCATTTTTAAAAAGCCTTTGTTTTTTTAATTTTTTTATCAATATTTCAGTATACATATAAATATATTATACAGTTGATTACAAGCTCTAAACCCATTACGACGTTAAGTCGTCAAAATAATATATTATATTTATCGGTAGGATTATTATTAGTATCAAATGCTAAAAATAAATACACTCTCGGCGTTATCCGCCAGACTTTAACGCGATAATTCTGCGTATTTTATGGTTTATTATTTTTTTTTCAACAGCTATTATTAGAAGTATCGGAAGCAGTGATTATTTTTTTTTCAATGTATTCGGTATGGCATCCGAAGTTTTAAATTCCAGATTCATTAATTATGAGCGTACAACAAACAAAAAAAAACACTCACTCATTTAATATAATATAATAAATAGGTAAGCGTTTTTAATGCGACAATACAAATGAATTTAATAGCCAGAATTATTAAACAGTATTAATGTATAAACGTGGATGTGCGTTTTTTCTTCTTTTTAATAAATTTACTCCCGACGAACTATGTGTTGTATTTTTTTCCTCGTGACGTAGCAAAAGTAATTACATGTGTTATATTTAACGTTATGAATAATTTAGCACTGCATTCGTATACAGGGCGATGCATGAATAATGTATATTGTAATACAATTATTTTATACATACTTATTTCTGTAGGTCTGCCAACGTCTAAAGTATATAGCAGTCGTATTTGTTCGTATTATGCCATGTAGACAGCGTTATTAACGTGGGCATCATTTCCGACATTATTAGAAACAAATAGGATATTCGTTAATTGGAAATTACAATTTTGGACAGCTATTAACTATGCGAGTGCACTAAACTGTGACTGTTATATAAATATCATGTAGATATAGATATAAATATATTTAACATTAACTATAAAAATTGGCACTTGTGTAGTTTGTTGAAATGAAAAAATCGTTAAAAACAATTCAAAAGTACTTATAACTTATCAGTTCTAAATGAATTACAAATTAAAGCACTCTTCATACCATCCGAATTAGGTCTTGTTTTTAATTTGATTTTCAAATATTTATTATAACATTCATAGCTTTAAGCTTATAAAATTTTCATAGTTTCTATATATGTATTGATAGCTAAAAATACGTATCTAAAAAAATATTGCCGAATACAGATTTATCTAGATACAATAAAAAAACAAACAAATTTTATCTCGAAATCTTGACCGAATAAACTGTAGAAATACATGTAACTACCATACATTGACGCGTCAAAAAGCAAGTCTTACGATAAACAAAGCAGCGTTGGTTATTTTTTTATTTGTATACCGTTAAAACAAAAACGTTTTTCCGCCGAATCGAATGGAAAAATTAATTCGAGTTAAAATTTAAAATTGAACGTGCATTTATCCTTAAACACAGAGTTATATATATATATTTATAGTGAACAGAAGGCGTGAGTGAAGAAATCGTGGAATAAAATCAATGAAGAAATAAAAGTAATAAATATATATCTTGTTTCCAATAAACGGGATTCCCCTTCTGGTCTTTCTTCTAATCCAATGACTAGAACGGAAAACCAAAATTAATTCGAAAGTAATTTTATCTTTTTCATTTTCGCCCTTAAGTTTTTCAAAAGTAGTGAAAAATCATCATGATGAGATCGGGGTGTTCAACCTTTCCTCATGACTAGGGCTCGGAAGTTGTTGCATCTGCATGTTTTTTTTTGCTCCATTGGATTTATTGCTAAGTGAGCTAGAAATTCGTTCCAATACACTACGAAAACCATATCAAGAGTTTATAGTGAATATTTTTGCATATTTAGAGATTTTTAAATTTTATAGCATATTTCTTAACTTTACAATTTCTTAGAGCATATTTTATGAGTTTTGAAGATTCAGTATGAAAATTCGAAAAAATAAATACATTCATATTGAGAGAACTTTATTAATATTCTTGTATTGTATTTTTAAAATTTCCATTTGACATTAAAAATAATGTTTTTCCCCTAATGGTTAATTATTATATTATATTATAATTATATAATTATAAATTATAACTACTGCTAGCTTCATCTAAAATAAAATATTATACAAATATCAAATAGGAGTAGCTGCTACCGTAATACAATGATTTTCTATAACTATTTTTCTAGAAAAATAACTCAATGATCATTGAACATTCTACAAGTGAATTTTTTTTTCAAAAAACATTTTTAATGCTATTTTATTATTATTATTATTATTTTTAAATTATGATTAAAATTTAAAAGTCAAAATTATTTTTATTACTTTGATTTTTCTATATTTATAATTTTATAAAATATTTGTGGAAATGAAAATTTTGTGTACAAAAATAAAATATAAGTGCATATTTTTAGGGTATATTTGTACTTTTTTAAGGGCATAAGTGCATGCATATTTAGTATTTTTCAAGTGCATTAAGTTTCGAGCAATACTCACCATCATTTTTCTTTAAAAGATTCTTTTTTCAATTTTTTTGTTTGTATTACTTAATTGATCGATCTAAAATACATTATAGCCATCCATTTTTTAATACCAGTACATATGATATTTAATTAAGATGATATATTGTAATTATTGATTTTTTTAATATTATTTAATATATATATATATATTATTACTTCTAATATTTACTTATATTTAGTATATAACCATGTTATAACTAGACCCATGTCTCTTATCATACATTTTTCACAACTTATAAAAACAAAAAAACTTAAATTAAAATTGCTTAATGTTTGCCATTGTAAAAGTACTTTTATAAATGAATAAATTAAAATCTATATTTTTCTAGGTATTTAGGTTATATTTAATTTTTATTATATGTAATGATACAAAAAAAAATGTATGTGATGATACCGAAAAAAATATATGTAATAATACACATATGTGATACTTTGTGATACTTAAAAATGTGTTAATTTTCGAGCTTTGCTTTCAAAAAATATTTTTACTATATTGGATGGTATGTTCAGTCGATGCGTATTGAGATATATTGTGTACACTTTTCCAGCATATGTTTGACAGTTAATGACTTGTAGAATGTGTCACATATTGGTTGAGGCTTTTTCCTAATTAAGTACGAGTTTATAAAAAAAAAGTGTTCATTCTTATCTTCTACAAGTATAAAATAGTATAAAATAGTACGATTTTGGGTTTATTTGAAAATATTTTTAAGACGAAAAATCGAGTTGCAACCCACCGGTTGAACTAGATAACAACATCATGCCAAATTAAAATATCATATGATTTTCGGGTTACTAACTTGATATTAAAAATAAAAAAAGGATTATGAAAGAATGATTAGAAAGATGTGAGTTCATCCTTTGAATACGATATGTCTTTCCGAAGGTCCATTTAATTTCATTTTCGAAAGGAACAGAAGAGATCCAGTGAATTTGTTGTCCCATAAAACAACCCTGTGTTTAATCAACGAAATTCAAAGATATTCTATGTCCAATCCGGTGTTATAATTCTTCATCGATTTCAGATTAAGTCAAACCTTCTTGCTTAGAAACATCGACTGTTGATACTGTTAGTACACGAATGACGAATGAACGATCGGTATACGAAAACAACAATCGGTCGCTCGTTTTGTTACCAATCCTGAGGCGTTCCAGATGTAAGCGGTTTCGTATAGTGTAGCGAAGTCGAAGTGCACACGACAGTAGTTTTCGAAACTTATATTTCATGCCGCAACACTTTTGCGTTCAACGGAGCGAATCGGTCAGCGCTACGCATTTTCAGTTGTAATCTTGAGCACCACGAAAAGTAGCGCGATACTATCGTATCGATCGATCGAGGGCGATCGAGAACAAGCCTTATTCGATTGATGTTATTCGTATTTTAACGAATAACGCCCCTGTTAGTGTTCCTACACTACGACTGATTTCACTAAATTAACTACGTGGAATGGATTTTCTAGAAGCAAAGCATGCATTTTTATTTTACAATATAGAAAGTGTATTATATTTTCTTCATATGAAAACATATTTATCGTTTATGGCCATAATTACGTCAGTACTCGGAAGTATCGCCCTCATCCCCACTTAAGTAAAAATACTCGTATTATTCTAATAAAATTAAAAAAAAAAACATTAATTAAATATACAAAAATAATGGTATATTTTTATAGTTTTCATTATATTTCAGCTGTTTCAAAAAATATCTAGCCGATAAATTAATGATAAATTTTTGCCTAACCAGTTAGTTATCCGGTCCTTACTGCACTAACGCCACTGAACGATAATGTATGCAATATTCACATATTTTTAGCGCAAACATATTATTATGTATATACATACAGGGTGAAACATTTCAAGAAAAACGTTTCCAGTTTTATCCACTTACATGGATTACTCTAGATATGCATACATTATCATAGTTTTTAAAGTGAAAATAATAAAGAACTATAAAGAACTTGGTTTTAAACATTTTCGTGAGACATAATAATCTGTGGTATATTATAGAAAAAATGTTGATGTAATATTTAATAAAAATAAATTAATCAAAATGATCGACTTTCTAATGAATCGTCGGATTGACAAGTGGTTGAGTGAATATAAGTACCACAATAATTGGTTACAAATTATAACGATAAAAATGAATCAATTTAGGAGAAAAAGGAAAATATTTTTAGAATTAAACATAATACGAACGAAAAAGAACGTAAGAATATGCGCAGAATACGGTTCAAGCGAAAAAGCAAGCATGTACGTTACCTTCTCAGAACTTTGATCTCGTTATCAAGAGAATCCTCTTTGCCCTTCAGTGCTTTCTTGTCAATGATTTTCACGGCGTACATTTCCTTTGGTTGTTCCTTGGTCACGGCCAAACGTACCTCGGAAAACGCGCCCCTGTGAACAAACCAATAATATAAAAAACGTATTTTTTGATGCGTATAACTAATATAAAACAATAATAAATAAATAAATAAATAAATAAATAAATAATATAATAATGAACACCTAAAACGCTCTAATTTAGGGAACGAGAATATTAGTATATTACGAGAAGTATTTACTGTTATACGTACACATCATAATATTATTAAATACAAATATAAGAGTTAGTCGTACTCGGATGCAATAGTATCAGTTCAAACATGTACTGAATTACATTTATTTTCAGAGACGAGAAAAATAATTACATTTTATATTGAACTGAATCAAACTGTACATAGTGTTAAATTGAAATGGAATGGACATTTATTCAATGTACACTTTATTATTGTAACAAACGATTTTGACTTTCACTTACATAAAATCAATTACGTTCGTTTGAGTGTTAAATAGATATGCGAGTTTCAAACACTTATTTCGAGTACGACTTCTTATACCGACATAATATGATTTCGTCATTAATTATTGATGACGTTTTTAATTTTCATCGGTCCATTTTCGTAGCCACAATACGCCAGTGCGTAATAAAAGCATTTTGTGTATTAATAATGCATATATTTTAGCTGTATAATGTACCTTATAAAATTTGGATTATGTAAATTAAACAATCATTGGTAGACGGTGGTATAGCGGCAATGTGATCTCTCTAATTGTTCGATCAGACAGTTTTCGCAGCAGCACTTTATACAATATAATCCTTTGAACCGCCGCCGACAAATGAACATATATAATACATAAATTGTGTTGGGGAAAAGGTAAAATGGAATCTAAAATCTCCAAGCCATTATATGATATAATTGTAATAGACGGTATTAAACAATGACATTTCGACATATCGTATTTTCTGAAACAACTCGACGGTGACGGCATTCGCTGTATCATATGCTAATTCGAAACATTTCGTGAACAGATGCGGTGAAAGCCTGTAGTAGCGCAAACAAATCAACTGCTTTTTTTTTACACAACATTAATTTATGTTCTTTTAAAAAATATAGGTTTGGTGTTTTTAATGTTAGTGGTTATTATTTGGTAGAAACGGTTGATGTAGTTTTATACTCGTGAATAAAATACATAGAGGGATAGTGTACAGAAGAAATATGTATAAAGTGATGTACAACGCATATAAAACCTCTTTCAAACATTTTATGTCCTAGATGTGCACATCCGTCGAATGCTCTCCGTTTCCGGGCAATATTAATATACGACTTCGAGAAACGTTCTGGCAAAGACATAAACACTTATGGAGCGGATCCTCTTAATAGCGAACACCATTTGTATTCTGATTTTCTCCTACACACATTATATTCGCACCATCGATGTTATTGAATTATACAATACACGGTTGCGTTAAACGTTCACAACAGCACAACGCAACCGGACAAACGCTATCAAATGTTTCTAGTCCGTGACAATGAATCTGCAATAAATGCCCTACGTAAGAGCAATTATAGAGATATAATTTTTAGCATTTATCATCATTTATAGATATCTTTAATAGAAATCAATAGTTGAAGGTGCATATCAGTTAAACGTGTAGATAATAACGAAAGCTAATATGGGTATAATGAATACTTGAATTTAATTTCAATGTGGACTAACACGACAAACTGCATCATTTTTTTTTTCACCCCAGAATTATGCGATCACGATCTGTGTGTGTAGTACATTTTATTCGTGTATTAATAAATTCAATTACGAGACAAAATAAAAATAATATAGGTCAATTGAATAAATATATGCTAAGGAAAATTGCATTATTCTTTAATTTTCAACAATAATACTATGCCAATAACATAGTGTTATACATCGTTGGTATACAGGTAATTTCGGACGAATTAACAACTTCCAATAGATATTCATTAATAATACGGTAAAAATGTAAAAACAATTTTAAATATTGTTATTATTATTTCTGGTCCACAATAATTATACGGCGATTTACAAATGCCTGCTGCTATGGGGAAATTACCGTTAATACCGCTTATCGGTACCGGGTATGTCATCAGATATCGACTTTTTCAAGATGTACATTTACGAAAAGTTGTTTCATATCACTTTGCCGTCATATTCGGAAACGAAATGGAATTGTTTTTGTTCTTTTTTCTTGTTATTGATAAAATTGTATTAAGTCTATGACCTTACTTGTCACCCATAAATATATAATATAGGTACACACATATATATAGTACACCTATAAACACATATTTAGCTTGGGAAAAATAGTTTGGGACCATACATTTATAGTGTAGCGTACGGATTGGTTCAGGCTGTTTTTTTTTTTGTTTCTTCGATTTTAAAAGTGAATTCATTTTTTGATCTATCCACGAACCAACGCACATATTTTATTAAATAATACATAGAAAATATTATCTCAATAATAATGTATTATGCTACTTTCTTGGTTTTTTTTTTTTTTTTAGGGAGAATTATACGTTTATGTTGCTTAGTTTTATTTATTTTTACTACCATATGTCGTATACGATACACCAAACCCTATTATGTAATTGTTATTTTACAGTAATCACTTAAATTTAGTGCGATAAAAAAGGAGTGTGGGATGTTTGACGAGGGAGTGATGAGAGGGGGAAGATGGACTTCACGGATTGATTGATCTAAATTTATAAGTAATTTTATTGTTATTATAATACTATTATTATTATTGTTCATTAAATAACAAAAAATAAAATAAAAGAAAAATAACAAATAATATAAGCACTATGTATAAAAAATCGTACCAAAATGTTGAAGATTTCAATTTTATTCAAGAATTGGGTAAATGATAACTTTTATCCCGATCAAAAATAAAAATAAATTTATCGACCTATATAAAATTTCAAGAGTTTCATTTTAATTTTGTATACGCACGAAAAAAAGTTTGTATTTTAAATTATTTATTAACAAAGGCAATAATAAATTAATCAACTTTTATTGAAACAAATATCAAATAAAGGTTAATTTAATAAAATACTTTTTAACGCTGGCATTTTGAATAATTAAACACGATGAAATACAATGTGCATTTATATTCTATAAACACCGGTTATAATACGAATTCAAAACGATTTCCTGTCAGTAAACCACCCATAGGAAATCAGTTTTGTTTTTTATCATCAAACATTTATCTAATAAGTGTATTTTATTGGTTTCGATATTGTCAGTATAAAAAAGCATGAAAATGTAAAAACTCTGAATCATATATTTATAAATTTGTATGTATACAACTATGAATGTCAATATTTTATAACCATCTTAGATTAACATTTTATAAGAAAAACAATTGAATACATTAAAATACTAAAATTGAATATACGAGAATACTTTAGACAAGGAAAATTATACATTTTTAGTATTTTTTTGTTTTTTATTTTATTTTTATTTTTAGTTTTTTAAGATTTTTAAAATAACATTTTGTATTCATAGTTTGCTTTTTTAAACATTCATGGAATCCATTATTTCGTATCCAATGAACCAAATCATTTTTTATAACTACTATTAAACATTCTACCATAAATCATCCATGCAGTACAATAAGATATAAATATTTACCCACACACAGAATTACCATGGAAAATTAGTTAAATCACATGCTCAACTTGTGTAACAAAAAATTAATAATTTTAATTTCTTTCGTGATTCTTCAACATCATTATTATCTACATGTCTTATTCATTTTGATTCATAATATTTATGCCTTTAATTATAATTTATTATATTGTTAATTAATCTGGTATTTTTATTTAATATCTACTACATTTTTTGACTTTTGAAAACTTATTTTTTAAAACTTTTGGGGGCCCGAGGCAGATACCCTTTATGTCTCCCTTAAATCCGGCCCTGGCAGTATTTACGATGAAATAATAGTATTAAATACTAAAAAGTATTAAACAACTACGAAATTATTCGTCTAAAATAGATACTTCACTGAAATCTCTAAATGTTGTCCCCACACATATTTTTTACTTCAGGTGGCTGGAGAAAAAAGGCGATCGGGACATCTTGGAGTTACAATATTATGCACACTATCAACTAGTAATATTCCGTAACATAAATATATATTTATCAGCACTCGATAGTAAACGCACAATAATTACGCCGCATCGTAGTCCGAATAATATAATAATTAATTTCGTATAAAATGCAATTAACGGTCAAACCGCGAACCTAACCTAACCACGCTGTAATATACTTATCCACATCTATGTAATCGTCCAACCATCATGTCACCTTATAATAGTCAACATTAATGATTTCCCAAATCTTTTTTCATTAACGCACACTACTCCTTTCGACCGTTAACTCATTCACAACTTCACGGAACCCGAACGATTTGATGACTAAGACGACGATTCGATTACGAACCATTATCACGTTCGTCCAATTTTTTTTCTTCTCCCATAATATACATATAATACAAATGTGTAATAATATTATCTGTAAAAACACTAATTTTGATTCGTGACTAATTTTGTAAAGATTAATTCAAATAAATTACATAGGTAAATGTAATTAACGATTTAGTAACGTGCAAAAGTAGTTTTTCATTTTTAATAATATACATCGTATGACATGTTTTCTATACCAAACATTTTAAATCAATTGAATTCTACATTATTCCACTATTACACATTTTTTCGAGTACCTACTGAGATTATCTTCTCGCTCGAGGGTAAACAGTGTACCAGTGCACGTGGAAAAATGCTAGTCTATGTTATATAATATGATATATTTTGTTTGAACACTTAACAATCAAAAATGAGCGGAAACACGAACTCAACATTTAGCCGTTCGCTCCCGAGGAGAGGTTTCCGAAAATCTAGATCTTTATCCATTATAAGCATTTTTCAAATATTATTATTCTGTAATCTGCTTAATCCAAAAGGTCTATTGTATATATATTGTGCATATTGTTAACAATAATTATAAGTTAAAAATAAAATATAAATTAATTACATGTT